TTATAACTTTCTGGTGATATTTTAAATAATGGAACATCTCATGTGCAATAATCGAATTATCCATCATTTGACGTCCAGTGATAAATGCAGATTGATTAGGAGAAATGCATTTATCTAGGATGGTACGGAGTCTAGTAGCCAAAATTTTTTAAAGCACCTTGAATAGCACATTACAAAGACTAATTGGATGATAATCCTGAACTGTGGTACAATTTTCCTTTTTTAGGATTAGGCAGATAAAAGTGTGATTGAGACACTTCAAAAGTTTCCTATTTTGAAAGAATTCTTTGGCAAAAGTTATGATATCATCTTGCATCACATCCCAAAATTCTTTATAGATTAAAGCCGGCATACCATCTAGACCAGGAGATTTTAAGCTTCCTATATTAAAAAGAGCTGATTTGATCTCTTCATCAGAAGGTATAGTAGTGAGCATTTGATTATCATCTTCTATTATGATGGGTTGGAAAAGATCAGAAATCGGATCCATATTAGAGGAGGGTAAATGGGTAAATAAGTCCGCAAAATAGTCAGTTAAGGTATTAGCAATGTCCTTATGGTCAGTAACCCATACCCTTGATTATTTCGGATTCCTTTGATCTCATTTATTCTCTAGCGACAAATTGTACTCTTATGGAAGTAATTAGTATTTCTATCTCCTAGATTTAGCCAAAGTTGTCGGGATCTTTGTCTACAAAAGTTCTCTAATTGAGCTAGAGTCCATATTTTTTATAGAGGGAATTCAAAGTCACCTAATCCCAAGGGGTAGTCTACCCACAGTGAATAATTTGGGACTCCAATTGATGTAACAAATGATGAGGATCAGAAAACTTGTTTTTTCTCCAAGCAATAAGTTTTTTCTTAATCTAATCCATTTTTGAAGATATCCTAAAAGCCGCATGTCCAGAAACTAGATAATTCCATCCATTCAGAATTTCTGGTTTACAAGATTCATCTAAGAGCTATATCTTAAAAAATTTGAATGGTTTCGGGTGCTGGTTTGTCCTTGGAGAAGTATCAAGAAGTAAAGGGTTGTGATCAGATCCCCAATGGGCAGAAATATTGAGGCTAGCATGAGGAAAGGCTGAGAGCCAATCAGGACTAGCTAGAGCTCGATCTAGAGTTCTATTAATTAGACCTATGGAACGTTTATTAGACCAATTGGTTCTACCACCTTGAATGTAGAGTTCCATCAGATGATGATCTAAGATTAAGGTACGGTATTGGGTAAAAGCTAGTTTCATAGGTTTGCCAGATGGAGAAGGATCCTGAATAGTGATATGATTTGCCTCATTGAAATCTCCAATAAGTAAAAAAGGAAGATTAGCACTTTGAAGTTGATGATTTAAATGTAACCAAAAAGTGTTGCGGTGGGCTTTAACTGAAGGTCCATAGATAAAACCAAGCAGCCAACTGTTTAAAGTAGGTACAAAATTTAGGTTTAGAAGAACATACCTCGGATGACTCAAAAAGATGGAAACAAAAAAACCATTTTTCCAGAAGATGACTAGTCCTCCTGCTCGACCTTTAGGAGGAATTAAATAAGTGTTAGAAAAATGAGAAATGTCAACAAGTTTTTGCATTTTTTAGTAGGGATTTTGGTTTCACAAAGAAAAATAAAGTCAGGATTAAAGTTCTTGATCAAAACCCCTAATCCTTGAACTACCTTGGGATGCTCAGCCCCACAGCAGTTCCAACTTAGGGTTAACATTGGCCAGCGTGTGGCTATTGGAGGCTAGCCACCACTGCCTTTGTCAGAGAAAGCTTAAAAAGAAGAAACGAAGAATACTGACCGTATTTAAAGTATGTTCTGGATTTTCTTCCCTTGGAAGCAAAGTAGAAGGATGAACTGTCATAGCCGTCTCAGTGTCCAGATCTAGTTCGATGACCTAAGATATGTTCTATTTGGTTGCTATGGGAAGATTCAGGTTGGTCATAAATCGGGAGCTTAGGAGATGTTTCAATTTCCAATTGTTGAAGGAGGTCTACTAGAGGTCATTTTCCTTGAGAAGAGGAAAGATCCAAAGAAAAAGAAGTGGGAAACAATCTGGTTAACAAGTGTTGAGTGTGTTCAGCAAGGTGAAAAGTATCTGCAGAAATTCACAGAGTAAATGAACTGGTAGAGTGGGATGAGGAAGGATCAAAAGAACTAATTCGGGCTAAGGTAGTATCTGTGGACTAGGAAGTACGAGGTGAGGAGGAATAGGTGGAGTAGGAATTGCAGTGTTGGAGTTTGAAGTGGGGTTTGGCAGAACTAGAGAATGGATAAAAGAATAGAAAGATGGTCGATGCCAGTTCCTACACATAAGAGTTTCAGCACTAAGCCAAGGACCAGGCAAATGCATGTGTCTCTGGTTAAAATACTGCTCATAAGATTGTCCAAAAACATGAGGAATCGGTTGAGAATAGCGTCGAAAGTAATGGCCAACACGTCCACAGATAAAACAAGTAGTTGGGAGGTCTTCATACCAATAGACTACCCAATGAATAGGACTGTAAAAACAACCTACTTTCAAAGGTTGATCAATGGTAACTAGGACTTTCACTCGTATGTAGTTTTGAAGGACTGTAATATTGCGAGTAGGTCCAATCCTTTCAAAGAGGGGACGATCGATAGCTTCTGAAAGGATTTCATAGGGTAGATCATGTAGTTGGACCCAAAGTTCAATCTAGTTCAGGCGCCATTCGTATTGGGGCCTACCAAGAACCCAAGGTTTGAGGATAATCCATTGACCGTTAAGGATCCAGGGTCCATTATCTCGACATTAACAAAGTCATTTTCATATATGAATCTTAACCGAAAATGGCCACACTGAAAGGGAGCTATTAGGAGATAGTCAGGATTTAGGTTCCAAAGTGAGTAGAGACCTTCCTCGAGTTTAGAAAATTGGTCAGTGAGTCTTGGGAATAAACGACAGATAAAGGAGAAGTTCCAGTTTTCATGGAGGTTCGGAGGAAGATGAGGCTGAATATCCACCAGTTCTATCCCTGGCAAGGTTTTTGCTTGGAGCATATTGCAAAAGGCTTTGTTTAGGGCATCTTTGTCTTCCATTGAACCGGAAAAAGCAAGAAGCAAAGGAAGAAGAAAGGAAGAAGAAAGGCTGGGATAGAGGAATACAGACGAGAAGAAGAAGGGAAGAAGAAATACGGATAGAGGAAATGTCACTTAATTCATTGTAATAATAATAATAAGTGGTAAAGCAAGGGCGGCGTGGAGTGAAAATAGAGTGATACTCAAGTGCAAAAAGATTGACAATAAGGACTACTGTTAGATTGAAAAGTTCGATAAATTAGTTAGGATAAAACTAGGCAAAGAAAATTAATAGCATGTAACTATGAAAGTTTAGATTAAGTAGAAAATAATAGCAAGGAGATACTCCTTGAAAAATTCGTAGAGCTCGGCTCTCTGATAGTTGAATAAACTGCCAAGTTTACATGTGAAGTTGAAATGTGATTGTGTTTACGTCCTCACATGCATAGCCTTCATGTTGTTTGAGCTCGACTTCTTTCGCTTCTAGTTCTTGTTGGTGCAACAATTCCTTCAAAAGTTACCATATGTATATTCAAGTGCATGGTATACATCGGTACTCCGGTGCATTTCTCCCTCTAAGTCAGAATGAATATGTTTTCAACCCTCTCTTTAAAATTCAAGGTGGATTTCCCGTGCAAATCTCCACAATCACTTGTTCTAATTCTACATATTGATCATTTTGAACTAAAAAAAAAGCTTTTTGGTGGAATATTTACATTATGTATAATATCTTGACTCTCAATAGTTACATAHAGGTCTATATAACATAGAAATTTTGTCTAAGTGTAAAAGTTGAGGAGGGTCTTTGTTGCATATTAAAGTACAAGGCTGACCCATAATAAGGGCACTCGTGTAATTTGAGTTCACATCTCCGCCCCACAAGGAGCTTCCCTACAATGCCCCATAGCACATTCCCATCGTGTATTGAGAACATCTCCCGATGATGACATCATTGGAACTAATACTATCATTGGGAGATGTTCCCAGTACATGACGGGAATGTGCTATGGGGCATTGTTGGGCGGCTCCTTGTGGGGCAGAGATATGATCTCGTGTAATTTACCCAAAAAAATCTAGGGATAATGACTGATCAGTCTAGGTCAAAATTTTTTAGCCCCACTCAGGGGGATGAATCCTGACCATGAATTGATGTGAAATTCACGGGCAAGATGCGGTTTATAGGGGGGCTACTAGTAGACTATGGGGGGTTATCATTCGGAATTCTGCATTGGATTACAATGTACTTAACCCAAAAATCTAATTTATTATTATATTTTTTTTTGTATTGAAATTTATTATTGTATCTTCCAATGCCATTATTGTATCTCCCTGCTATTATTATATCTTCAAAAACCTGTGCTCACGAATTCACATCTGCACCCCACTAAGGGCGCCCCACAACATATCCCAATGGTTTATTGAAGACATCTTTTACTCACAATTTCAGAAAATATTCTTAATGCACGCTAGGATGTGATCGGATCTGCTCCTCACACAGGACGCCTCACACCGACCTCACACGCACATCCTACCATGCATTGGGAACATCTCCCGCACTTATAAGTAATATAGTCACAGGAGATGTTCCCAATGCATGGTGGATGTGCCTGTGAGGTGCCATTGTGTGAGGAGCAGATCCTGTTCCCGCTGAGATGTGCATGGAGTTCGTGGGGGCGCAGGTGTGATCTCACACCGTTTGAACATATTTTTCCAATTTTGCATTGGGAATATTTTCCAACCCCATGAAATAAATGAAACGGGATTTGCTGCTCACAAATGGAGCGCCTTACAGGCACATCCACCGTGCATTGGAAACATCTAGCGTGAATAATAACTTAGTACAGAAGATGTTATCAATGCATAGTAGGATGTGCGTATGAGGTCGGTGTGAAACACCCTGTGTAAGGAGCAGATGCGGTATCGAAATAAAGCACATAACTACGAGATATTCCAAATTTCCAAGCTGTAAAGGCTGTTCGGACGGGCGTTGCACTGACCCAAGCCGAATACTTCTCTGGCCGAACCTCTGTAAACTCCACAGATACAACAGTTGTGAGACACAGAGGGAGGGAGGGAACATGGGCGCTTCGTCATCCACAGAGCAGATCCCAAAGGAGCAACAAGAGATTGAAAACCAAGCAGCTTCCACGGGAGCTCTTCCGATGCTTCGAAACGCGTTCTCTAAGCTCTCCAATCCTCAAACACAAACTATCCCGCTCAAATCTCTGCAGGTAGAAACTTCATCCTTCTTTTCCTATTTATTTCTCGGAAATCCCGAATTCCTCCTTAAACTTACAAGTTCGTTATCAATGGCCGTTGAATTATACGAAATGAAGGAAGGTCTTAATATATAATTTGCGCCCCCCCCCTTCCAAGTCCACCTTTCTTTGAATTTCTGTTCGTTAACGAATTTGATGGATTAGGAGCTGAATATCATTCTTTCCGATTGTTAAATAAACACGGTTGATAATTTACACAGACGGAAGTGGATTTTCTCCTGAAGAGTAAAAATTATCAACGAATTACTTTATTCAATTTAAAGATTCTTTGCGATGATCCCTTGTTTGTTTATGAGAGTGGGTTTATCAATCAGCACTATGCTGTGTTTCTCTGATTTCTATAGTAGATTGTGAGATGGTTCATTTGGTCCCTGGGAAGGAGACCCTCTGTTACGTACCCGATCAATACGACAAAAGCCTTGGATTTATGTAACACGTCAAACGAAAACTGTTTAACTTTCAGGACCATAAAGCTCCAGGTAGATCTTTCCGAGATGATTCACTTTTCTCCAGCAAACACTCTTGGAACGTACTTGAAGAATGAACGTGGGCTATGATGCAAGATATTACGTAGTCAACCAATACGCCAAAGGTCCTAGAACTATGAAATGCGACAAGCCAAACCGTTTAACTTCAAGACAATAGCACCATCACGGTTCCCATTCTATAATGCTGATAATTTGTGGCTTTCTCGGTTCATTCTTATAACTGAACTGATTATTTCTTTTGCTCAAGCAAATGCATTTGTGACTTTAGGTTCTTTTACTGCAATCTAGTAGTAGTTTTCATCGGATGAATTATTTTCATGCTTGTTTGCTGTTAATTTACAAGGTTTCCCTCGTACATGTTTCTTTTATCTTGACAACTCTCACTGGGAAATCAGTTCTCAGCTTTTACTTCCGTACTATCCTTACATATTTCTGACCTTTTGGTCCTTCAGGATTGTTTAACTGTGGTCATCACAAATCCAATAAATGAAGCATCTCCAGTGCCTGAATGCTTTCCAAGGCTAGTTGGTCATTTAGGTACCTCCATAGTTGACCTTTTCTTCAGGGCTGATAAAGGAGGAGTTCATTGGGTTGAGTTTTTGAGAGGTTATATTAGGTGCTGCGATAGGATGTCAGCCTCAATGTCACTTAATACTTTGTACAGGTTGTATGCTGTAACAAGTGCAAAAGCTGGCCATCCATCAAAGTTAGAATTTGAATCTGATGAAACTGATGGTAAAATAAGTGGCTCTCTTGTGTCTGCCGATGTGCTCATGCTTCTCTGGATATGTTGGATTATGTTTCAGAGTTCAAGATATCTAAAGTCTTCCAAGGGACAAGCAAAAATAGATCTTCCAGATATAAAGCATCTAATATTATCAGCAGTCACGTCATGTGCAGAACTTGGCAATGACTTAAATATATGGGACTGTAGCATTTCAAGCTTGGAATTTGAGCTTCCTGCAGGAAAGTTTCATATGTGGGCCTTGAAAACAGTTCCAAACCTTGTACAATGCTTCAACCAATTTGTCCACAACAGGCTTCAAAGATGTGTTTTATTGGAGGTACCATATTTCCTCAGTAAATTTAGTATATTCTTTATGGTGCTATCTATTCTCACCACTAAATCAAAGTTCTAGCACTCTTTTTTAATCTGTCGTCATATAAGCGTCTTTAATAAATTTTATCTTCTTTTTTTCAAAACTTGATCAAGAGAAGGGAGATTCTTTGAAATAGGATATTTTCTTAGATTTCATCTAAAATCTTGAAATTTTGAAGAAATAAAAAAAAGGGTCTTGGAGCAGGTTGTAGCCTATCTTGTAAGAAAATGTATCAGCTATACAGGAAGGATTTTCCATTTTCTAAAATTTGACCACAACATGTACAATGTTGTCCTACATTTCAGAGACTTATCAAAACCTTTCCATTTTATAAATAAAACGTATTTTGTCATATATCTTGATTTGTGAATTCATACTATTTATAAGATGTGTCATATGTATCAGCTTATTTATGCAAACCCTTTTTTCTGTATAAGAAAGAAAGATTTACCTATTTTTGGTAGCATCTGTTTTCCAATGTTAGTCATTTCAAACACTTCATATCAGTATCAGGCTGCACCAATACATGTTTTGATGGTCTTGTGCATAGTTTCAATTATCAGCCAAACAACCATGAATAAAAACATTTGTCTTGGAAACCTTCAAATTGTTTCTACCAGCAAGGTGCCAACCAGCTGGTTGGTAAGGTTTCCTGCTGGTCATAGCGGAGATTTGGGATCGAAACCCACCTGCACCTGGGTTGGGGGATGGGCTACCCCCCGTTGTGTAGCCCTTCAAAAGAAATAAAAAAAAAGTGTGCCATATCATGTGGATGCATAAGTTTTTATTGTAAATTCCATATCCAAAACCTTTTCTAGCTGTATTCATGCTGTATCCGGTAACATAGTTCCACAACAAACCAATCATGTTCCTTTGTTCCTATTAATTAGGAGTTAGTGCATTCACAATTAGATTTTCCTTTCTCTTCATTATATATCAAGAATGTAGTTCAAATTTATCTTCATCTTTTTTCAGTTGCTGCTTTCTTCAATTTTATGCAACATGTTCTTTATAAAACCCACTCCTAGTGATAAAGTTCAGATCTATATACCCGTTAATTTTAGAATAATAGAGAAGAAAAGATAAAAAGAGAGAGGGAGAGAAGAGAGAGGAAGAGAGGAGAAGAGTGAAGAGAGGGAGAGAAGAAAGAAAGGCTGGTTTGAACTAGAGAGAAAAATCTACACTCTCTAGTTGGCCATGCTATATTTATAGCTTTCTATGTCAAAAACAAATTGACTCTTGTGCCCCTACTTAAGTATGAGACACATCACTTAACTCAACATTACACCTCATACTAAACATAAACAAAAAGACTAATCTGCCCCTATATAATCGACACTAACACTCCCCCTCAAGCTGGTGAGTATATATCATATAATCCCAACTTGTTACATATGTAGTCCACTCTCGCCCGACTCAACCCTTTGGTGAACAGATTTGCCCATTGACTTCCTGTGTTAACATATGATGTACTTATTACTCCACTAAGAACCTTCTCTCTCACAAAGTGACAATCAACTTCTATGTGTTTTGTTTTCTCATAAAAAAACTGGATTAGAGGAGATGTGGGCTGCAGCTTGGTTGTCGCAATAAAGCTCATCGGTGTGTTAATTGAGTACCCCATCTCCTGTAGAAGATTTTTCAACCACACCAATTCACAAGTTGTATGTGCCATGGCTCTGTATTCAGCTTCTGCATTGCTTCTTGCCACCACTGCTTGTGCAGAAGTTGGGGTGTAAATTAAAAGATCCAAATGATCTAAAAGTGTTCCTTCAAAAAAAGAGAGAAGAAGTTAAGGCCAAAAGGAGAAAATTGAGTGAGGCTGAAAGACTGTTGAAGGATGTGGAAGGAGAGAAAAGCCTTGGTGCTAGAAGGGAAAGGAGAAAAGGAAATAAGTGAGGGCGATAGGGTTGAGGGGTGGAGAACAGAGTTAAATGAAGATCATAAGTTGGAATGCTAGAGACCTGGGGAGTGCAAGGAAGAGAGCAGTAATAAAAGAGACAATCAAGAAAATAGATCTAGATGTGGTACTGTTGCAAGAAACTAAAAGAGTAGAATTTGACATTAAGTGGGCAAGGAGTGTATGGAAAGGTAGGGGGATTAGTTGGGTAGCCTTACCTTCCTGGGGGTTTGTAGGGGGTGTTGTGACAATGTGGAAGGATGAGGTATTGGTAGGTATGGAGGAATTAATAAAACAATTTCCAGTCTCATTGAAGTTTAGGCAAGTGGAGGATGGATTTGAATGGGTCTTAACCAACGTGTGTGGGCCGAATGACTACAGAGATAGGAGGAATTTATGGGATGAACTGGCTAACATAAGGGGATTGTGGGATGGGCCATGGTGCTTGGGAGGTGACTTTAATGTAATCAGATTCTTGGAAGAAACAAATAGCCCTACGCAGAGACCAACCACGAGTATGAGGAGATTTAATCAATTTATTGATGCCTATGAACTTAAAGAGATCCCATTATCACAAAGGTGTTTTACATGGTCCAACCCAAGCTAGCCTAATTTGTTCTAAGCTGGACAGATTCTTATTTTCAAATGATTGGGAAGAACATTGGGGGAATTTGAACTCTAGAGCACTTCCAAGGGTGACCTCCAACCATTGGCCTATTGTAATTTGTAAGGAGGTGAAAAATGCAGGCCTTGCACCATTTAGATTTGAAAGCATGTGGCTAGGACACCTAGGATTCATTAAGAAAGTTAAAGAGGTGGTTGGAGAGCAATCCAACAATGGAATGGAGTGGGATGCGGTTTCACGAAAAGCTCCAATTTTTGAAAGTCAGAATCAAGGAATGGAATCGTTTAGAGTTTAGGAGATTGGAGGAAAGGAAGCAGAATGTGATTGTACAAATTGAAGTATTGGATAGCAAATAAGGGAGGGGATGCCTAACAGAAGAGGATAAGGGACAAAGATGGAGATTGCGCAAACAACTAGAGGACTATCTTCTTTAGGAGGAAATAAGTTGGAGGCAAAAGTCAAGATGCAAGTGGTTAAAAGAGGGGATAGGAATACAAAATTTTTTCATGCTATGGCAAGTGGAAGAAGGAGAAGGAATACTATTTCAAGTTTGGAGATTGAAGGGGCAACAATTTCCAATCAAAGAGAGATTGCAGGGGCATTTGCAAATCATTTTAGGTCTATATTTAGATGACCTTTAAATAATAGGGTGTGGCTCGAGGGGTTGGAATGGCCAACACTGAAGCTAGAAGATAGGGAGTGGCTGGAAAAAAATTTGAATTGGAAGAGATAAAGGAGGCAGTATTCTCTATGTATAGATCAAAGGCACCGGGCCCAGATGGTTTCATGATGGCCTTTTATCAAAATTGTTGGGAGATACTAAAAGAGGACCTAAGGCTGGTATTTGATGAATTCCATACTAGAGGAGTGATAATTCCACCTTCATTGCCTTGATACCTAAGAAAAGTGATGCAAACCATCCAAAGGACTACAAGCCAATTAGCATAGTTAATAGCTTGTATAAGATCATCACTAAGGTGCTATCTATTAGAATTAGGAAGGTGCTCCCAGAAATCATAGCAAATAACCAAGGAGCTTTTGTGAAGGGGAGGCAGATAATAGATCAGATACTTATAGCAAATGAGAGTTTGGAGGACTTTAAGAGATCCAGGAAAAAAGGGGTGGTTTGCAAATTGGACTTGGAAAAGGCTTATGATTTGGTTGATTGGTCTTTCCTATTGGAGGTGATGATCAATTTTGGGTTTGGAGTATGGTGCAAATGGGTGATAGGCTGCATTAGGAACTACCATTACTTCATTTTGGTGAATGGGACAGTAGTGGACTATTTTCCAGCGTTGAGAGGGATTAGACAAGGAGACCCCCTTTCCCCTTTCTTGTTTACACTGGTCGCGGAAGTGTTGGGGAGATTAATCTTCAAAGAAGATTCTAGGGATTTAATAAGGGGATGGAGAGTTAGAAGAGAGAATATACCGGTAACACACTTGTAATTTGCAGATGACACAATTCTTTTCTGTGAAGGAGGGGATCTCAATAGGATCAGAAACTTGAAGCTCACTATACAACTTTTTCAGCAAATGTCAAACCTAAAAGTGAATTTTGAAAAAAGTTGTATAGTTGGAGTCAATATGGGGGTAGGGGAGGTTGGTGAGTGTGCAGACATTTTGGGGTGTGTAGTATCTAATTGGCCCTGAAACTACCTTGGTTTGCCATTGGGAGATAATCCTCAGAGAGATGAATTTTGTGTTCTGGTTATGGAAAGGTTTGAAAAGAGACTTGCGAAATGGAAGAAAAACTATTTGTCTCTTGGAGGGAAAATCACCTTAATTAGGTCCACATTAGCTAACCTTCCTGTCTATTTTTTGTCAGTCTTTAAGATTCCGGTAAGGGTGGCTAGCAGGTTAGAAAAACTTATGAGAGATTTTCTATGGGAGCCAGGGGAGGAGAAGGACCATAGGGCTAGGTGGGAGATGGTGTGTAGGAGTAAGAAGGAGGGTAGTTTGGGAAATGGAAATATAAGGAATAGGAACTTAGCATTATTAGGGAAATGGCTATGGAGATTTTCATTGGAGAAAGAAAAACTTTGGGTAAAGATAATGGGAAGTATTCATGGGGTGGTAGACAATAGATGGGACTCTGGGATTCTAGCAAGGACTACAAGAGAATCCCCTTGGAAAGCTATTCAAGCTACTTTGCACGTGTTCTCTCCTTGGATTAGGTATGACTTGCACTCAGATAACCTAATTAAATTCTGGGAACATGTTTGGGTTGGGGATTCCCCTTTGAAAGATCAATTTCCAACTATTTTTGCTATCTACCCTTAAAAATTAACTAGTTTCCTCCTTCCTTGTACCTTCTAACTCACCTTCTGGATTCGGTTGGAACCTGGGGTTGAGAAGAGATATAAGGGACACAGAATTAGGTTGTATTTCAGCTTTATTATCCATCCTTGAAGGGATTTTCCTAGAGCCAACAAAGGAT